TTAATTACCACCGTTCAATCACGTATTAACGGGTGCTACCTACAGTGAATCTCAGTGTAAGGATGTCTTCTCGGTGACGTGTGAGAATAGAAACAAGTGAAACACCAATCCAACATAACATGCAAGAATATGTGCGGTTCGCCACATTGAGATATACGACTTCAGTGAAAGGACATTTGCATGCCATGAGTGCTCTGTAAAGACGTTTGTACGAGATAGTAACACGTAAATCATATACAGATATCGCGTATCTGCAGAAGCTGGACCTATGTAATTTGAGAACATTTATTCTTTATAACGATGACTAGGGTCACTGATGTAATTACGGACGATGGTGGTCCTACAACTTTGGTAATCTGAATATTAACAACATACGCCGCCAGCGATAGAGAGAGGACGGAGTTACACATACGCTCTGATGACAGTGTATGAGTAATTCGTCGAGACGTGTTAATAAACTATGGCGAAATATCTTACGGCATGCACTGTGTGCTCAAGCGTGTACTATGTTTGTCACAGTAATACGTAAGAACCTACAGATTTCAGTGACCAACAGTAGCTAGACGAGAATAAATTTCGTAAAAAATTGCAGATGTATACTTATATATTTGAAGTGAATCGAACCTTTGTAATATACCCTAATGCTACAAAAAAATATTTTGTCACACATATTTATAATCTTGAAGTGCAAGCAGACACCATAAACAATCAAACCAATAAGAAGTGCATCAAGTACACTTTCAAGGTCTACAAAGTAAGATGCATATAAAATTTACGGCTATGCTAGTGACAAACACAAAAAAATTATTCCATAATGCACCAAATATTAAAATATGTCAGTGCTTAAATTACCACTACCGATAATAAAGAACGCACGAAGCCACTGCGCATCACCTTCTGCGCAGATGCCCCACTAACCTAACCTAACTCAACACAAACGGGGTATTCTGAGTCAGCAGAACATGGCTACCTGCACACGAATTTTCGAAATAGAGAATGGATGGTCGGAAATTATTGAAATTTTGTATGGACGTCATGCCACAGGTAAGTTTTTGAAATTCAAAATCTAATATGTCATAACTCTTTTAATAATTTCGCACAAACCCGTCAAAGTCGCGAGGTGGGCAAACGTGAAATCGGCCACGATCACCAAATTATTACACTATAAACACGTTATTGTGCTCAAATATGTTGGTGAAAAATTTAAAAATGGTTTTTATATGTGTCGAATAACATGAGAAGTCTGTAAAATTTAATGAGGGCTGAAGAATATTTATGTCCAACAAACACATAGTGAATATGCGCATCCAAAATCTTTCAATGTTCTTACGTAATGATTGGGGCATAAAATTCTTCGTACATAAATGTACAAGTTGCGAGTTAAACGACATATATATGGTACAGATGGCAGCATCCGTACCAAGAAGTTCCTATTCAAACTGCAGATGGCATGGTGTAGCAACAACATATAGAATACTACTGCTACGTAGATATTCGCCTACACACACAGCATACAAAATCAAGCAGATTGTAAATATTTTCATTGTGGTTGCTATGTGTGTCGAAATACATCAGAAGACCAATAAATTTAAGAAATGAGTGCAGATTAATTTTTATGGTGAAGATGCACTGTTGCTGGTCATGAACATTATTTACATTGATTCCTTGTGTTAGGTGTGATGTGAAAGAAAATGAGTCTGAAACTCAAACTTATGGAATTGATTAAGATTTTCTTACAGCCCCTGTACAGCACATAGCATGCACTAAGGAGAGTAACATTATACATGGTGAAATTAATGAACTATTAACATTAATGTTGATTGTAGCAAATAACGAAATTGCACCATTGCGTTACTAACTACAGATAAAGTTTGAAATTATCAGTCATTAGTCAATAGGGATAGTTCCAAATTCTTTACTTTGAAAATTGTTCGAATCCCACTTAGCATAAATCCATTCTTTAAATTTTAAATATTATGTAATGTGTACCAGTTATCATAAACAGTATTCCACCACAGCCTGGACTAATTTTTCTAGGAAAGTGGAAAATAACTTGTGGCCTTGGTAATTAAAAATTCATTCTACTTACTGTCTGTGTTACTGAAAAAACACAGACATATATGAATCTTACTATATGATCCTTTTCATAGAAAGGCTGCAAAATGTTAATGCAATGTACTATATATTATCAGCAAGGTGCAAGAATATACGTCAGAATCTGGACAGATATAAGTAGGGTTGTGTGTTACTACAAGACTTAAAAATACCCTCTCTGAAAATGCAAATCATCTGCCGTTGCTTATGCAGGCTGTATTATGTTAGTTAATACAGACTGCCTTCTGTGTTGAACCCATTTTCCTCCCTACAACCAGAACCAACAACTGCCCAGTCCAAATCTACTCCTGCTTTGCTTACAGTACACAAGATGGACTGATATTTCTCTAAATGTACTGAAGTGATGGATAAAGTAGGACCACCCATTCACCAAGTTTTCTAAAATAATTTATTACCTGGACATGTGTCTGCATAACAGCAAGTACCCCATCCAGTTTTTCAACCCATGTTGCTTGTGAAAGAAGATCTTCGTGATTAACCATAATCTGTCTCTTGCAATTTCTTGTCCAGGAGAGTGATTCCTAAAAGTATAAAACAACTGACTCTAAAATTACTGTACAGTTTAATATATGTACACTTATACAGATCAATGAGTCAGAGAATGTAGAAACTGTTTATAAAATTTTGTAGCCACAAGAAATTACTTTTATAAATAATATACACTTAAGATGATTGCTTTCTTCTGGGTTATTGTGCTGTGTAGTCTGGTAGATTTCCACCAATGCTTCAGAGGTCATATTGCCTCTGTAATCAGGGCAATGAATGCCTGATGATGTAGGCAGTATGACCTCTGAAACATTAGTGGAAATCTACCAGACTACATGGCGCAATAACTCAGAAGACAGCAATCTTCTGACTCACTGCTGTGAAAACCCCAAATCCTACATAAATATACACTTAATCTATACTACACCTCTGAATCAATTTATGAATCTAATTATGCTCTCCAGATCTGAGGTAATTTGGTCCAACCTCATTCCAGTTAAGTTTAAGTCTATTTTTCACACAGAAAATGTTTACATTTCATTTATAACAAACTTTTCTATTCTAAGCTAATATATGGACTATTTAAGCACTTTAACAAATCTGAATTAAAGTTCCAGCATGTACATACAACTGATGAAGATGTCTCCATAAGATATGTAACAAAAATTTGGACCTGATGTTGGAAAAGTAGTTACACAGAACCTTTATGATTTTGAATGAAAACTGTATTTGTGAATATAAGTTTGGCCTATCAAACCAACTATAGTTAGTTACATGTCTGAATATTTCTATAATGCACTGTCCTAGAGTATTAGACTTTATGGTTTTTAGGAAATGTATATGGTAGGTTGTGGCCACCTAAGATTTATGCTTCCCCTAAAGTTTACATGCTCTCTAAATTTTGTAATTATGTTAATATTAAGTGCACAAATTTCCCTTACGAAACTTAATTGTAGGTTGTAGCCTCTTCAAACAACAATAATTATCTTGAGCAGCTAGTTACACTAAATCATACTAATCAAGAAATCCAGTTATTCAACTAATAACTATTACATTACTGGTTACATTAACGGTGAACATAACGTACATCATCTGCCAAATGACACGAATATAATCACGCCACCATAACGGAATGGTTATGATGAATGTTCCAACCGATGTTTGGTTCTGTACATCACGTGGCTCGTCAACCGTTCGCGATTTCTTGCGTAATCTCTTGAGAATAATAATAGTTCTAGTAGTAGTTCTTGTGAATCGTGCCAAAAAGTCTTTATGTATTCTGTCAACTTGCCTTAGTAAAACTTATAGGGTTTAACCAGCAGGTCAATAGAGCAAAGACAAACACCGATAATCTAGCTGACGCACATTTGTTTTCATTGCCATCTATGAAGAAGTCTATAAAGCAGCTTCATACACGTAAACCACACTAACGTAATATAGACTTCGACAGCCAGTCGATATGATGGTCCACTACTATTCCATGTCAATCTCTCCTCCAAGCAAAATTTAAGCACCACTCCATCATTATTATGGTTGGAATTGCAGAGTATATACCTTTTTTGTAAGTCAAATTAATTTTCCACCACTTGCATGTCACAGTTTAATGTTTTATGTTCCTTGTTGCTAGTTTCCTGAGCAAAAACAACATTGCACCAAATATGCATGAACACATAAGTTACATTCATTACTATTGTTGTTACAAATTATGTACATAAGATTTCACCTTTGGTATAAAAGCAGATGACAGATAAAGACTAAATGACAAATGACATACCTCATGAAATATATGATTCAGGAAGGTACGAATCACAAGAATACAAGAACCAGCAAAGTCCACTTTTTGAGTTTCTTTAATTTTTAAGTTTCTTGCAGAGAGAATATAGTCCAATTAGTTGGTAGTAGACTGTGTTAGATAAGAAACAAAACTGCTTCACTTGTTTGTACAAAAATAAAACCCCAGTATATCATTGCTTCTCCTGAAAAATTTGTCAAAGTGGACTTACCTGGTACTTGCACCCAGGTCTTATTGTGCATCCTGTCCATGCACATAAATCTATTTCATACAAATGGTGACCATTTTTTTAAAAATTCAATCAGGAACAAACACACACATACTAAAAGGCTAGAATTGATGCTAAAATGTAATTTATAATGTCCTATATATTAAACTGTCACCACATAAAACAAATTAAACATTTTAAGTACATGTCCATAGCTGTAGCCATATGGTTAGCATCCCTGATACGTATTTGAGAGGTCCTGGATTAAAATCTCAGCTTAGAGACTAGCTATCCTGACCTTTTCACTATTTTTTCTAAGTACCTCCAAACACACTCATCACCCAACATCTTCATAACTGATATCTGTTTGGACATATCTAATAACCAGAGAATGGCTGTAAGGTTTTACATGAAACTTGGTATAGATGTTATGCCACAAGTGACTACACCAAGCTCACATTTTTTAACTGCCTACTCTCAGTAATACCAGCATGATGAATGCTTGAATTTGTGAGGTGGAATGACAATGATATCATTATCTATAATACTCCATGCATGCACATATATATTATTATATAAATAATTGATATGAAATGAACATAATTTTTATACCAGGTCTAGTATTAATTTGACCACAGTATTCAATAATTTGCATTAAATTTTGGCACTGTTAACTGTTTTTTTTTAATTTTAAAGTTATTGGTACATGTCCCTGATTTCTTGTACAAGAAATAAGACACAATGTAGCTTACCCTTATACTGACACTTACACTGGCAGTAACTAAACTGAACTTCCTTTACATTCAGGGCAGCCAACTGCCATGTCAGAGATGAAACTCCTACTTTTTACTGAAAGAATAATACCATCATGCTGTTTGGTCAGAGGTAGTGATAGACTGCTATGCAGCAATGGTAGATAGATGACTGGTACAGAAAGGCTAAAGAACTCTGAGGAAAACCTACTCCAGAGCCATTTCATCTACCATGAATCTCACCTAAAGTCCCCTTGAATTTAACCTTGCTCTCCATGGTGAGTAGCCAAAATTCAGCTTCTGAGCCATCAACTTTATAAAAGAATCATACCTAAATTGGATCAGTTATAACTGCCTTGTAATTCAGATGGATAATAGAGTAACACAAGATCTATGAAAGAACAGCACCACACGTTCTCAGTTTTCATCAACTGTGTTGTCACAAACTTGTGTTGTAGTTGATAAATATACACAAAATTAATGGGCTGTGATTATCAACTGTTTCTAATTCTGATTACTTCTGTAACAATAGCAACATTTTCAAAAGTTTTAATTTGTGTTTTCAAAAATGTTTATGTCTTGTTCTAGGAAAGAACAAATCAGTGTGGTCAGGTGCAAATGTTTTGTTGCTCCAGGGTAGCACTATATTTTCACGTGGGTGTTGTATGTGCAGGCGCAGTAGTGTCTTGGCTGTGGTAATCATCACAAGAGACAGCCGATAAAAAATTTCGAAGATACTAATTATGCTTCCGCCCATGCACAGTCCAAAAATTCCGCCAAAAGTGGCTGAAATGAGAAATATTTATTATTTTGGATAACAAACTGTGTACAACAGCACTGTTGTTCTGAATTATTACACCACGTAGACTATAAATAGAAACAAACATTTCAGAGAAATAGGGTTTAAACCCTGAAGATAGTGACTGCATGTTTCCCTGAAATGCAGGATTCTGCCTATGAGTCTACATGGTGTCATAACCCAGAAGAACACTGTCTTCTTCACCACTGTGAGAACTTCAAATGTCATACTATTCTGGGTATATTTTCATACATCTTAAACTTGAAGCACTTAGAAAAAACAGAGAAATTCATATTTGAAAAATAAGATATAGACTCTACTTACCAAACATAGCATCCCATGTCATATAAGCGTCACGTGCATACTTCATACATGTGATATCTCGGAAGAACACGTGCAATACACTAGTATTGGGAACATTTTTCCTGGAATGGAAGTAAATGCCCATAATCTCTTCAATACATACAGAGGTAGATTCTAATGCACTAATTCCTTGTTTTATAAAAATAATGCAGAAAAGTTGTTTCTTAAGCAGAAGTTTGTTAATGAGAATCAATTTCCCATTTCCATAATTAGAGAAAATGTGACCTGATATATATATATATGCACACACACACAGGCCTATAATACAAACTATCTAGCTAAATTACAAAATATTAACTGATTAACTGACTGGCCAGCTAGCCAACCTAGCAAGCTCTGATCAATTAACCGATGAACAAAATACTAACCGACTGATGAAACATCGACTGGGTAACTGACTAACCTCATAGTACAAGATCTTCCTTGACAAGTTAATAGTTGCTCAATTGGTCAAGATATTTTGCACTTCTAAGGGACTTGGATATTCAGTATGATGTTTATGCAGGTTCATTAATATTCACAATTGCTTCTGAAAGATTGAATTCCTGTTCCCACCTTCACACCCCATCTCTCTAAGATTAACATTAATATGATCATCCTAATTATATACATGTTTCATCCTTTGAAGTTTCTTCAGTAGCAGAAATTAAATACTGGTACATATTTCTTCTTCTATGGCGCAACATCCCGAAGTCGAGCCTTGGCTTCCTCCCATGTGGGAGGTTTCTTTGTCTTTACTGGTACATATTTATTTATTATAATGAGAATTATCATGAAGAAGTATTAAGTCATGATGGATAGAAAGATACACATGGCTCTGAATGTTTTTATGTAGCAAGAATTCATTATGCAAATTTTTAAAATGCATCAATTACACATTCATAAAATGAGGAGGTTTTGTAGTTGTGCAAAGGAACTTACAGAATAGATTCAGATGGTGAAAACTTGGGCTCCAAGAGTGCAGTTTCTGTGTCAAAGAAGTAGAGCTTGTCTGTGCACTGGGGCAGACAGGTGCAGTTCATGCCCACCGTCTCATTTTGCCTCAAGTTCC